TTCACACTACCGTTCGCACTCCTTTACGAAACTTCTTACTTCACTTTTTTGAAAAATGAAACTGTCTTTCCTTTTACTCCCGATCAACAATCAAATATATTTTCTTGAATTATGAATAACACGAATGGATTGAAATATTTAATTAAATTATTTCAAAATAAACCTTCATTTCGGTGCAATATTGAAATTGGCTTGAATTCTTCATAATCTCTAAATAGTGGTTGACCCACCGGGTCACGGTGGTCTAGTAATATTTAAAAATCGTTTATACAAAAAATACTTTTAATATACTATGTCCAGTAGAAGAAATATGTAGGTAAAGGTAAAAATATGGAGAAAACTCCTTGTGTTGTTCCGACAATGCAAGATTCTGGTTAGCGTGGATCATATTCGTAACAGGAGTTGGAATCATTAATTCCTTTAGAAGGGCCCGGCATGGCCAGGTTGTTAGGGCACTCAACACAATTTGAGAGTCGCGGGTTCGAATCCCCGTCCCACCAAACATGCTCGCCCCTTTCAGCCATGGGAGCGTTATAAGTTGGTAAAAGAGTAGCCCAAAAGTTGGCGGTGGGTTGTGATCACTTCACTGCAAAATCCGGGACGGCTAGCCCTGACAGCCCTCGTGTAGCTTTGCGCGAAATTCTTAACAAACAAACAGCTCATAAAAAAATTAGAAAATTATATATGTGCATTTTAAAGCGAGTGTATTTTTTATAGTACTTATAGTGTAAAAACATATCTAGATAAACGTTAATGCAGTGTGAAATCTAACAATTAACTGTGAATACAGGCTCACAGAAGCCACAAAGATAATACTTGAAAAGTTACATACCTGACTAGGGACTTTTGAAGATTGATTAATAGCGTATTTTGATTTTCTGAACTTTATATGTTTCGATTTTCAATAAAAATGGCTCCTCCTGTGAACAATTTTATCGATCGCAGAACAGAGTGAAAAACAGAAGGTTTGTTTGTTGTAAGCACAAAATTATAGAATGAACTATCTGTGCTCTACACACTGCGGGAATCTAAACCAGACTTTTAGCGTTATAAGCCATCAGACTTACCGTTAGTTGATAATCCTTGTAAGCCTAAAGTAATTGTAAAGTTACACTATATTCTATACGTTACACAATAAAAGTTAACCTACTGCAATAATAATAAAAAATATTGATATTTTAATGTAATTTATGAATTAAATATGAAATATATTATTAAATTAAATAAACAAAACAAAATGTGGATATATACTTCGAGGTACATAAGAAAAAAGAAAACAGACTTAGTATGAAACAGATTTATTTAGAGGCTTAATATTTTATTCCAGCTTTAGTTATCTAACCTATTACACTCTTATCATATAAGAGCGCCATCACAAAGAACCATCTAGTTTAAGAACCTAGGCACTTTTTGAAGGAGTTAACCTTGAGGTCCATTCTATGTTCTCATCGATTTTGGCTCCAAAACGCTAAGCAGCACCGAAGTAGATATATTTTTCATTGTTTGAGTTGCCAGAACTTCACAGGTAGGTTCGTTGAGATGAATTTGACTGAACTGCCACCTATGGGCCTTTTTGCACTTAAGAGAAAACAATGGATTAAAAACATATAATGGCTGGAGACGGCTTGAATGGGTTATGAAGAAAAACTTTAATATAAGTTTAACATAACAGCAAATGTTCAACGTTTCGACAAGGTTTTGTCATCATCAGGTACAAGTACTTTACACTGACACGGATATATATGTTAAACTTATATTAAAGTTTTTCTTCATTACCCATTCATGCCGTCTCCAGCCATTATTAGTCTCAAAGTGGGTTCCTCGTCATCAAATTTGGATTAAAAACATATTTAGTCTTTACCAGTTTCATAGAGCTTATTTTATGAGAATATTCCCATATAGATTTTTATGATGTGTTTATATAGGCCCATAATTCTTGTATTTATAAATCAAAAATTTCTAAGGACGAAACGATTGGCATAGGAGGAAATCGTGAAGTAAAAATGTTGTGAAATATGTCGAACTTCAAACACCTATTTACTTCAAATAAACGTTTTTTTTCTTATTGTGGGTTTATAAAACTTTGGCACGTTGCATAATATATATTACGTTCATTCCGAAGAATAATCTCTTTAGACATATTAAAATACATCTTAACCATAAACTATAAATGTTGCCTGAATTCATTTATGCTATCTTGTAGGAAAGAAAAATTATAAATGAAAGACTGGTATCTACTGTCGTTAAATATTATTTCTAATTTCTTGTTTTTAGAATCAGGAGTTAACGTTAGTGCAACAGCAATGAAAGGAAAATTTAAATTTATGTACAAGTATGTTAACATTAATTTGTAAAGACCCTACTAAGTACAAGACTAGTTCTTCTAGGTGGCAATCTGTAATTGCAGAACCAAATAAATGCTTTTAATAATTCAAATAACATGTTTTCAGATCAAAACGTTCAAACTTAGGCTGTGAGCTTGACTTCTAAATATTGTTTACCCAGCTTCATAGAAATGGTTCTTGATGAGACATTAGTGATCTTAACGTTCACTAATGTCTTGATAAGACATTAGTGAACGTTAAGATATTTTAAAGTTGTTAGTATGCTTTTAGAGAAATAAGCCATAAGGTATAAATATTATACGGCATAATAAAATATGTAGTAGTAACTAGTTTTCTGAATAATGCTTTTTACTAAGGTGATTAAGTCCTAACCATTAGTTTTGTTAAAAGAAGAGTAGTGACACTCTGTTACAAACCTTTTAATCAATATTCCCTCTATATTTGTGCTAGTTAATGTTAATACCGTCTAAATCGTTTAAAATTAAGAACATT